AGGGCTTAGCTTCATCTTGTTTTTTATTTTTCGTTCTTTTATTTATTTATTTTCATTGTGCTCGCCTCGCTTATGGATAATGATAATTATAGCAGGTTGAGCTTAAAAATAGCATGTGTAGAGATAATAGTCTCTAAAAGTAAGAAGAACGCTATGATGTGTCATTCCAAGCTGGTTTACAAAAGTTTTGAAAGAGAGCGGAATGCTGGAAGTGGAATAGCAGAAAAATTACATACGGGTTTTAATCAATATTTTTGACATATATATTCTGATATTGATGATGTTTGTATTGATGAGGTTTAAAAAAAAAAAAAAAAAAAATTATATAAATATTTATATTTTTTACTATATTAAAATTATAAAATAAAACTCGAATAATATATATAATAACCCATTTAATCTTTTTTATTAGCAATATCTGAAAATTGTCTGTTGAAATGAATTCATAAAATATGGAATTTTCAGATTATAGAAACTTAACTTTCGACTAAATTACAATGAAACCAGGGCAGACAGACGATATGCGAAGAAAGAAAATGGACAGACAGACAGATGATAATCTAGTCGCGAAATAGTCAAAGCCAAACCAAACAGAACATAATCAAATCGAGACGAGTGTTGAATCCGATCAGGAATTTATATATGTACCATATACGCATATACTGTGACACGCGTTCTTCTGCCTATCAACGAACCCAAATGCCAAATTTCATTCAATATAAAAAGATAACAACTTTATGCAAAAACTCATTTGCCATATTATGAATGTGTTTGGCAAAAACAAAAAGTATAATTTATTAAATGGGCCATCAACTGAAATTTGAAATGCAGTTTTCATAATTACACTGCAACGGTCAACAAAATCAAAGGGCGCAATTACAACTGACAAATTGCAGAGAAATACACACAAAAAAGTAGATAAATATAATAAAACAACAATTATAAATTATTATCTGGATAGAGTTGTGTATTTATCCATCATTTTTTCTTTTGCAAAAACTCTGTTGAATGAGTGCATTTATTGTCCAAACTGTGATAAACTTTAAAGCATTTGGCCCGAGTTGCCAACACGATGCAAAATTGCGGTTAATTGAATTCAGTGAACAGCATTTGTAGCTCGTGTTGTTCTCGTTGTCGGTGTTGTCATTGTTGGGGTTGTTGTTATTGTTGCTGCTTGTCCAGCGGCTACATGGTTGGGCATTAATTGAAGTTTTGCCCCCTCTAATAGGGTTGACCGAACCGAACCGAACCGAACAAAATCGCGCATGACTAATTTTTCATGTTGCTTTTCAAAGCGGTTGAAACTAAAAAAAAAAAAATCCGAAAAAGTGTTAATACCCTAACTGTGGATATATATATATATATATATTTTTGTTTTTTGTTTTCATAAATTGTGTGGCAGGTGTAAAATACAGATACAGGGATACAGTTATCAATTAATTGTTATATATATATATATGTATTTTTGATTACATTAAAACAGCGATTGTCTTCTGAATTTCTTCCAATAGGTGAAATCAACCGTAAATAGTTAAAAATTTATTTGATTTATTAGAGATCCCAATTCACATACTTTTTTTTGGCTTGACTTATTAAATATAGCAAAATAACTAAATAAATGTTCTATGGCTTTTCTGAGTTCAAATTTAATTTATTTATTAATTAATTTATTTTTATTTAGTTTACATCGACTGAATCCTGAATTAACATAATTTATTTTATTAATTTTAATTTATAAATAAATAAATAATTTTGTTTTAATGTTTTATGTGTTTGTTTTATGTTTTAATTTATTATTTATTACAGATAATATATATTTTATTTAAAATTTTGTAGTACACAAAATATTTTTAGTTTCATTTCTCTTATATTATTTAAATATTTATACATATGTAACTAGATATTCATATGTATAGCTAGTGTCATAATTTTCGTATTCTCAACGCAGTTCTAATTAGTTGCAAGGGTATCCCAGGTTGAGATCGCTAACGAGCAACATTGTTGGTCTGGTCTTTACACTATTTGCCGTTACACATGCTGTATTCGTCTGTATTTTGTTCTATACTTCAGTTTTAATTGACAGCTATACAGCTGATAATAAAATGCTGATATGAGTGTGTGTCAGATGCCAAATTGACAATTCCTTTCGTCATGCCCGCACGGTTTTCATGTTCATTGTCAGCTGCAAAACTTTTATAGCTACTGTTGTATGTGCATGTGTCGCATGTTGCATGACGTATGGCAGCAACAGCAGCTGCTCTCTCAGCCCTCTATGCCGCTCTGTCAAACAGACAACATCAATAAAAGTCCGTAATGGAGAACTGCATCAAATGACATTTCTCTATCTTCATTGGCATTCAAATGCTGTGCGAAGTGCGAAATGGCTAGAATGATAATAAACAGATACAATGTTCCGTTAAAGGTTTTGTCTGCTCATATTTGTAAATGCAAATAAGAATATTCTACTGAAAAAATAATAATTTAAATAAATAGAAAATTTACAAGAAAATTTGAAGCATTACTTACAGACTAGTAAAATTAAAAAAAAAAAAAAATTGAAATAATAATTTGTATTATTTTTATACATTAAATGCAAGGAGTACCCCTCTGGAATATACTTATTACATGAATGATACTTTGGAGCATACCTATTGAAAATATAGTAAATATGTAAATTTGTATGCAATTTTTGTTTCCCATTCTTGGTGCTCTAGATTTCGCAGACTACCCTTACTGGCGTAACAATTTGGATACATAACCTCAACTTGTGTAATCCCCACACAACAATTTTGTGCATAGCTGCACATTTATTTTCTGATACACAGGCACAGACACTGACGATGGCAAATAGTTGTTGTGCTGTTGATTTTTGTATGCCAATTGCCTCTGCTGCTAATCCCCATTGAATGCCCGTGACGCCCCAAAAAACTATGCAACAGAATGGAAAGAAAAGCCGAGCCGAAAAGAAATATTCGCTCAGAGCTCGATTTTGGGCCAAAAACTGCATTTAAAATGTATATTCGGATCGGTGCCTGGGCCTGAAATCCATTTGGCCAAACGTTGCCTGTTTATGCATGCGACTTGCAGTTGCAATTTTGCACTGGGCCGCTGTCAACGGCAATGCAAAATTGCGAAATGCATTGCAGCTGCAACAAGGCGGCAAAGGCAAAGGCCTTGAATATAAGCTGCATACCAATGGGTCATAACTTTTGCGCCAGGCCGGCCTCGAAAAAAAAAAAAAAAGAAAACTTTCGCCAACATGCAGAGGCATATGTACAGGACCCAAGTCCCGTGTGGAGTGTTCCATTTAACCCACAATCCACATGCTAAAGTGAGTGAGACACACCGAAAGAGAGATACAGAGACAGAGATAGCGAGAGAGATGGAGATAGCTGTGCGGCAGCATCAACTCCCGACACTCGCTCAATAATCAATTCCATGCTGTTGCTTTTCGTTTCCATCCTGTTGCCGTTGACTCCTTCGCATCGACAATGCTGTCGTTGTTCGTTGTGTGTTCTGGCTATGCTTCGTTGTCGTCTCTTGATACCCTGCATCAATTGGCTCAAGTGGAAAAATTGATGACTTACGTTCTGTATAAGTAAATGTAGCTAGGGAATTCTGTAGTACAATAAAATACTTATATTATATACGGATCTGCGAACTCTGTTGACACATTTAAAATTGTTTTTAGGTTTTGATTTGATAATATACATAGTCGGTAATAGTCTTTTTAAATTTTATACTATGGTGAAATAAAGAAACAACATTTAAACACAATATTCTGGCTATTCATATTGTTGTTTGTGTTCAGTAGGATATAAATATTTTTCTCAAAAAGGAATATTTATTTTTATTTACATTTTTTCTTCTTTTTTTTCAAATATCTGAATTGTGTTTTTTATATAAATTTATTTTATATTTATTTAAATTCATATCACAATTTTATTTGTATTTATTTTTTGTATAGTTTAATATTTTTAATTTTTTAAATTTATTTGTGTCCCCTTCTTGTTTACAACTGTAAATATCCATAATCTTTATTTATATATATATTAATAAATTAATTTTATTTGTATTTTCATATAACATTCATTTACAGCATATCTTTTAGTCGAGCACTTGTACTTTTTACATATTCCCACTTGTTTTGTGTTACACTTGGCTTAGTTTTATACCCCTTTGTTGTCATCGTTGTCGGCGTCGCCACCGTCGACATTGGCCGCCTCTGTCGCCGTGTGGCGTGAAAATTCAAATTAGATTTTAAAATTTAATAAATGTTTGTGCAAATTAAAAAGTGCCCCAACGCCTCAGCTGAGTTCAACTCAATTGTACTGTGCTCTAGACAGCGTGAAAAAATACACACATACACATACACACACACACACAACAATAATCCGAGTCACTTTTAATGATTTTTTCTGTCTAGTCCCACACACACAGTCACACACAGACACACACTTGAAATTGGCTTTGTCCTCTTTACTTCCATTTGCTCCTAACTTGTTGGCCTGTAAATTATATTTCTATGCATTTGATATGACTACAAAAGTCAATTTTATAACTTTAAGAGACAAGCTACAATTACAAATTAAAAAAAAAAAAAAAAAAATGAAAATGAAAATAAAGTTTTTTAAATTTGTTTTTATGTTTAAGCTGTGTATATTTTTTCAAAGCTGAATATTTTATATATTTCGGATTAAAGTATGAACTTGTAAAATTGAATATATTCAATTATAATGCAATTTACTAAAAAGAAGTGGCTTACAATTTTTTTTGTTTTGGTATTTTAGTATGACGAAGCGAACTGTAAAGCACGGATTCTAACTTAATTAAACACGAAAAAATTAGTTTTTATTATTTAAAAACATTTTTTAATGAATGAATACAAGAAGACATCTATGCATCAACAAAAAAAATCGCTGCCATATATATATATTTTAGTCTATAATAACCATTTTAAAATTTAATCAACCAGCATTTATAACATATAAATTAAACTAAAAAATAATCGATATAATATAACATTGATATAAACGAATAAAAATATAAATTTTTTACATATACATGTTAACGCCGTTTGGGTCTTATCATCATCTGAACGAATCGCAATGAATTTTTGTGCCAAGCAAACCAATTAATGCCATATTGATTTGTTCTTTTGGAACTAAAATATACTCCATTTAAATTACTGTAAACAAGAACCAAAAAATAAATTGAAAATAAATATATTATTTGGATATTCAAATATTACTCACCAATAATAACATTTGCGAAACCACCAGCCGGATCCGAAATCCTGTGCACAATTATTTTCCGCTTGGTCATTGTCGCGATCAGGTGTGGAGAATTTCATATATTTTTGCGCTGAGAGCGCATCACCTGCCGTCCCATTGTATTGACCCAGAACATGCAATCCAAAATCTTCGGATTCGTTGCCTATTTTGAAATTATCGTAGTAGGCATAACGAATTTGATTATCAAAGTCTTGAAGATATATCAAGAGTTCATGGCGTCGTGACGAGGTTATCAAATTTATCTTCTGCAAGCCCATGAAAAATTCACCTCTTAAATCACCAAAACCAATCCTATAATCATTCCAATTGCGAAAAAAGCTGACCGAACCATCGCGACGACGTAATAGGACAGTCCAGCCGGAGCCGACCAGGTGCGAGTCACAGAACACAGGGAAAGGCTCGGCTCCGGGCACTATAATCACATGTATATCTGTAGATTTGCCCAGACAGCTGGTCGCATGACAAGTCTTGACTTGTTTATCGTATATAAATAGCTTGTGAATCAATTGTTTTATCTTTAAATCGTCTTTGGTAATTTTGTTTCCCTGTTCGGCAATAATTTTTTCGTTAACTTTCACATTGGCCTCCAGTTCAGCTATGCGACGATCCTTTAATTCCAGTTTAATCAATTCACCCTCTGAGGCGGCATTATGTCGATTGATCAAGGCCTTGTTCGTCTCAATTAGATCATCCTTAATCCGGCTGCTGTTATTACAGGACACGTTCAATTCCCTAAGTTGCGTGAATTGTACTTCTTTATTCCGAACTGTTTCCTCACAGATGCCAATACGGTTCTGGAGACTGGTCAATTGTGTCTCCGAATTCTTAAGACTCTCCTGATACGCTTCGGATTTCTTTTGCAGTTCATTTAGTTGTGAGGTCTTTCGGTTCAATTGATCTCGCCATAGATGCTCTTTGATGACCGTAGCATTCTCACAAACTCCCAGTTTTATTTTGACCGTATTTACCTGTTGATCTGTCATCTTGACCAGCCTATCTAGCTCCTTGATTTTGTCCTGTAATTCCGTGAAGTGATGTTGCTTTGTTTGCTGCAATATGGGCTTTACGATATTCAAGCAATATGTATTGCATTCTCCTTCCAAATCCTTGAACAAGGTCAGAGACTGAAACGAATGGGAAAATGTATTTCTTTGTTCAGGTATATGAAAAAAATATGTTACTCACCGGCTGTGATTTGCCATTCGTTTCGAGTGTTCCAAAGCGTTGAATATAAAAGGTGAATAACAATAAAATTGTCCATAGATTTGCATAGTTCTGCATTATCTTTAGAAGGAATTCTCTTTATATAAATAATTAATTTTTCTTTTTTATATTGAGTAAATTCCTTGTACAGCTCTTTAAGCTCTGGCGATCACAGTTAAACTAATGCATTAGCTAAGTGAAGAAATTCCAATAGCTTTTGCATTGATTTATTGGAAGCCAACGCCATATTGTGTACGATACACAAATAACTGTAGCAACAGCTGTCTAATGCAGCCTATCGACAATAACTTCCAGTTTATTGACAATATCTGTGCCATTGTTAATGTCTGGAAATTGAGCAAGTACACGCAGAGAGACAGCTGTGGCTTTCATACGATAAGAGTGCATATAAGAATGTTATATATAGAGAAGCTGCTGCGATAATAAAAATATTACTTACAACATTGAATGTATATATAAGAAAAGTTATTATAAAAATGGCAATATGATTGTAATGATTTATTGTGTAAAAATCGTAATATTGATTGATGATGATAATGTGAATGTGGATGGGAATGAAATGAAGAATGGGAATGAAAATGGCAATGTCAATGTTAACACTAGTGAAAATGACAACGGACAATGAAAATGAAAATGGAAATGAATAAGTGACAATGACAATGAAAATGACAATGACAGTGACAATGACAATGACAATGACAATGACAATGAAAATAAAAATGACAATGATAATGCTAATAGTAATAGATAAATATATACTAATAATAAAATAAGAATTAAACATATTAACTAAAAAGAGGATAATATATTAAAAAGTAAAGTTAAAATTAACAATAACTGGAATTATAATAGAAACAATTTAATATATATCACTTAAACTATATATGTATACGTTCAATAGTATGTATCGTATATAGAAAGCCTTTATTTTTCTCTAATTTTCAGAAAATTTGCGATAAGCAGCAAATGTTTTGCATTTCGAAAACTAAAACAAAACCAAAAAAAAAAAAAAACTAAATAATAAAATCGCACTCATTTTGTTAGCCATTTGAATAATTTATATAGCCATTTAATTGCTAAACCATGCTCGAAAAATGCGTTGACATGTTAAAGGATGCACAACCACAGTCTGTCATTCGAAATATTTTAATATTTTGTGCCTGAGAACCACGCAGCAGTGGCAGCGGCAACGGCAGCCGCACCACCCAAACCCACTTCTAAGCCCAACAGTTTCCACCAATTTGCATTGTTGGCGAGCAGACAAAGGCGAGCTGAGGCCATTTCACACACACTTTAACATTTGCATAAATTTTAATGTACACACACATAGGCATACACACGCACACCCACATGCATACGCAGGCAGACACGTGAGAGCCACAACAAATGCTTGTCGGGTGCATGCACTTGGTGTGTGGGCTGTGGGCGTGTGTAGCTGTGTGTGTGGGTGTGGTAGACGACAGGTTTAAATACATTTTGCACTTGGCAATGGGGGAAAACAGCAACAGCTTCCACACCAACTGGCAACAATTTTTGCCCAAATATGCATATGTATATGTGCATGTATATATACACATACAATATATATATATATATATATGTGTATGTAGCTGTGCACAGGTATGCTGGTGGGCTGGTGTTCTGCAGCAGCTAGGCACCCGTAATAACGAGTTTTGCGGTAAATTGAATTGTTGGACATTCCGCACACACTAAAATCGTTTTCGTTCGCTGCTCGCTGCGGTTGAGGTTTTTGGCGTTGGGTCACACGAACCAAAGCCGGAGCCGGAGCCGGAGCGTTGATCCTTAACCGGTTGAGCTGGCCATATGCCCGTCTCGTCTTCCAACTCATTTTTGACGAGCCTGTACGCAAACTTTTATTGATATACCTGCATATATGGTGGGGGGTGAAGGGATTGTGTTGACTGACCGTTAACAACAGGACATACCCCTTGGCATATGCGTGGACAGGAAAATGCATACGGCAAGAAATTATGATGGTCATCAATTTCATTTCCGTTAGCTCACGTTATGTGTGCAACAAATTTTTAGCATACTTTTAAGTGCAGACTGTACTGGAAAAGAAACAATTTTGGATATAGCTAGATGAAGAGGAAAACTTTTTGAGCTTGCTGAGGACATAATTCGATTAACTTCATATTTTCGTAATTATAATAATCGCTTTAAAGTACAGCCAGTGTTGGTAAACCAACTATTTTCATATAAACTTTTTTTTATTTCAGTAAATACGGTATATTTATTAAGCACATTTTAAAATACTTTTAGAGGAAACTAACTAATTTTACAGTTAAGGGGAAGATCAATATATTATTTTATAAAGAGAACAAAATTTTGAGATTGTGGAAGAAAAATAGATATCTAAATATAAATAAATGAATGACATTTCTTATTATTACTTTTTTAATTAAAATTAAAATTAAAATTAATTTTTTTTTATCATTTTATAAGTATTAAATATATTTATTTTAGAATACCCTGTATTTATATATATTTTTTTAAATTAAATTTTTTTATAATTTTATTAATTAATGTTTATTTATATAATTATATTTTATTTTTAAAACTCAAATTAAAATCAAATTTGTTTTATATTATTAGTATTAATACTTATTTATTTATTTTAGAATACCCTGTAATTATATATACAGCTATGCATGCCTCTTGAACAACATTTAAATATGGAATAGCATTTGTTAAGCAATTTTTCCAATTAGAAACATACACATATGCAAATGTGCATAAACAAGAAGCCAGTTAGATATGACAATAGTCAAATCACATGGTCATGTGGTACATGGCGTATGCTTAATGTGGCCAATTGGATTTACACACTCACATGAGCCAGTTCAGAAAGAGAGATAGATATATATATATATATAGAGAGAGAGAGAGATAGAGCAAGTGAGTGAGCTGAGGCAAAGATTTTAGCCAATGCCTTGCACCATAATTCAAACGGTTGCAGTTCATGTCCTTGTGACAGCTGCAGCAGCAGCAGCAACAGCAGCAACAGCAGCCGCATCCAGCCAAGGACAATTTCCAACTAAATTTTAAAATTTAGAGCACACATGCCACACACGAGGGGGCGGGGTGGAGGCGTTCGTATGGCTGTGTTGCCATGCAACAGCAAGACTCGAACTCGAAGTCAGAAATTTGCTTGTCTTGCCTCAAAATATGCATAAATCTTGAGCTGGAAATTTATATTTACATTTTGCTCGTGCTATTTAACAACAGTTGATCAGCCAAGGCAACTGCTGCCAGACGAGCAGAGGGGAGCCTTGCTTTTGCTGTTGAATATTTTGAGGTTTTGCTAGCAACTCAGGCCAGGACAGAGTAGCGGAGCCATGACCATGCCCACATAGCGGGCCGAAAAACTCATACGCCGTTATGCGGTTTTATGCAGCGGCTTCAGAAAAGTTTTGCATTTTACCACACTGCACTTGTTCGATGCAGTGAATGGGCGAGAGAGGGCGGGAGTGAGGCAGGCGTGGCTGGAAGTTGTTTGTTTTATTACAAGTGCCAAATAATTTAACTACTAAAATATTAAATTTCTGTTTGAATAGTTGTCAGAGAGAGTGTCCTTGTGGATGCCGCTCTATACACATACATATATATGTATGTATATAGATAGAGCCCCTGGCAATGGCTATAAATTGTTGGCTACCTAACATGCTCTCCCTCAACATGCTGTGTGTGTGTGTGTGTGTGTGTGTGTGTGCACATATGTGAGCTGTGGCAACTCAATGTGTGCTTAGGGAATCAACGGGTCATGTGTTTGAGTTTAATTAAAAAGGGGCATTAGGATAAAAACTTTTATAAACGTGCCCATATTCACTCGTATTCCTAAATGATGTATATGCCAAGTTTGTGCTGAAACAATAGCAAGTGGCAGAGTGAGACAGACAGAGGGAGTGAGACAGAGAAAGAGAAATAGAGTGTATGGTTGTGTGTGTGTGGGTGGGTGTGTGCAGTTTATACAGGTGTATTAGTTGCCCATGTTGGAAGAGTTGAATGTCGGAGCAAAGCTGCTTTTTAACTACCCTCTTTTATGTTTTAATGGCCAACTAAAGTTGCGAACATATTTTCAGTTACCAAAATGAAAGTTAATGAAACCAGAAATTAGAATTGCGCATTGAAATTAACATAAATAAGAGCAATGCAAATGAGTTGAAATAAAATGAATAATAAAATGCAGAAATGTTGAAATAAATAAAAATATAAATGAAGGAAAATTGAAATTGATGTTAAATCTCTATATTCATATACGAAATTAATAATTTTGCGAATCATTTTATAAATGAATAATATTCATTTATTATTATTATTTTTTTTTGTAATACTAATTTATTTTTCTAAAAAGAATTCCTTTAAAATTATGGTTTCTATGTCATTTTATTTCCAGTTCTAAATTTCGATTTACATAAACTCAAATTCAATTTATGCTCTTAGCTCTTTTAGAAACTATCGAATGCAATGCATATTTAGTTTTTTCAATGCAGTTAAGCAAACTGGCAAATGGATTGTTAAAGTATTTATCGAGCTACAGAATATTTTTTAATAGAAATGCCGTCAATAACTGAGATAAAAACTGTTGTGGACAACAACTCGAGCAGCAACAGCTGTCAAAAAGAATATCAAGATAAAGAAGAAGAACACGTAACAAGAGGAAACAAACAACAACAATAGCAAGTGCAATGAACACTTCATTTAGCAAGTTTAAATTGAACTGAAAATTGAGGTTTAGCTGGCACTTCAAATCCAAAAATGAAAAACACACACACAGAGACACACTAACACACTCACACACTACACTAGTTTAGACAGCCATCGATTATGGCAGGCGGCTTACGAGCGAGTGGGCGGTGGGCGGTGGGCGGTGGGGCAGGGTTGCTGCGTGGGCGTTTGGCGTGCTAGAGACCCGCTGGCAGCTGTCATGTGGTCGATTTTAAGTGCTTCACTGGTTTGTTATTTTCTGGGCATCGTTGGCATCGTTGGTGGGCGTGCCCAGTGTGTCGGCCACTTGATAATGACTGCGATGACAACAGCATCGAGGCGAGCATTGGCGACGTTGTCTTCAAAACAGAACTCGATGCTCGCATCGACTGGCAAGTGCAATTTGCTGTGGCTAAAGCGGCAGCAACCACTAAAACAACAATAACAATAACAGCAACATCCACTACAACAACAACAACAACTACTACGATATCTACTACTGCAAGCACTTGACTATTTACGAATTGCATTGGCAAACATTTCGATTTTTATTTCATTTGCAATGATTTTTCAATGAGCATTATGAATTTAATGTGTGTGTTTGTGTTTTGTTTAACAGAAGAAAATTGGAGAAAAATTATAAATTTAAGAAGATTCTAAATTAGTATTTTATATTTTAGTAATAATAACAATAATACACAGAAGATAATAAATAAATATAATTATAATATAATATAAAAAATACATATATACAAAATAAATAAATATATAATATATATTCGAAGATAAATATAATTATACTTTATTGTATATAAGAAGAAGGAAATAATATTATAGTATACAAAATAACATAATTGATACTGCTTAAAATTAAATCATGCGAAAAATATATTTAAAAAATAAAATATAATCTATGGAGTCTGCCACGCCTCCTTCTGATAACAC